TGTATATGCTTTGGAAGTGGGAGGCCCAGATTTGATCCCCAGAACTGCATGGCTTCCCAAGCATCACCTGGACAACCAAGCAGAGTCAAGTATAGCCTCCCAAAATAGCCTTTAAACCCACCAGGTGTGGTCCCCAAATCAAACAACCACCATAACAAAAACAAGCAGCCATTCAGATAAGCATGCACAAAAAATGTTTCTCTTGAAACCAACAGAGAAGTGGTTAACAACATTTTAATCTTATGACAATAAATTGAAAATCTTTAAAACAACAATAACTGTGGTAGTACAGCCAGGTGTAAGTACTGCACTCTGCCCAGTATTGCCTGGAAAATGGGGAAAAAATAACTAAGTGTGTCTATTTTGGCTGACCAGGAAGTACTGTGGTGTTTCCCAAGATACTTACTGATTAAGTTCTGGGAAAACCGTCCTGATTGGTTACACGGGAGTAGTTTATGATATAGCATGGCGTTCAGTGCTTTTCACTATCTGATCTATGTTTTCTCAGAAACACCTTCTACAAAGCCTGACCGTTTTTATTGCTCCGCTCTACTTCCTCTCCAATACAATCACCATCCCTGAAGACATCTGTGTTCTCTTATACCCTCAGGCACTGTGCACAATGATCTCTGTGCTTGACAAACTGCACCCATTCAATGCGAAAACCCTGCTCCCAAGTTACCTCTAATCTTTCTTAATCTTGCTGCAGGGAATCACAATTTCATTCTGCCTGGTTCATTTTGTGGACCTGTGGGCCTTCCCCAAGTTCAGGACTGGAGCGAGGAAATCAAAGCACCAAGGTGCAGGCCTGTGTTTACATGATTCCCAAGAACAGGTACATTCTTAGAGTTTGTACCCTAAGATCTGCAGTTGCCTCACCCCTGTCCCTATCCTGGCCCACATTATCCAACTACAGACTTTGCAAGAGCGAACCCCAATTCGTACTCATCTTTAGATCCCTACTGACTTGTACAAGGCTGGACAGAATCTAGAGTAGAATCTATAGGGGAAAATGACATCAGATGCTTCTTTCTTCCAAAACCAGAAGGTGAGGAAGCCACATGGAGGTCAGGGAGACCTCTCAAAGCCATGTGTCCTGAGTTTCATTCTTGACATAGCATGTCCTTCCCCAAAGACCCTCAGGTGTGGCCCCGTGGCTCTAAAGTGTCACAGGCCTGGTCATAGTCCTATTGATTTTCCTAAGGGCTACACCCACCTCATTGTAGAAAAAAAAAACCCAAAGCCTGCCAAACCAAAAAAGTTGGGGATAGAACAGTCACCTCTTTGTTTTAGTTTGGGGGCTACATCAGGCAGTGCTCAGAATTTACTCCCAGCTCTGGGCTCAGGCATCACTCCTGGAAGTGCCAAGGGGACCAGATGCGGTGCCAGGGATGGAACCAAGGGTGGCTAAGTGCGAAGCAAGCACCCGACTTGCTATACTGTCTCTCTGGCCTCAGAAGGCACATTTAATAGGCTTCCTATTGCTCTGGGATAGTGGAAAGCTTCTCATTGGGTGTTTTACCTTTGGCATTTGACATATTGGGGGCCCTTTTAGTCCTCGGAGTCCACCCCCTTAGTTCTTTCTTCTGGTTAACAGGACATGTTTTTAAGGTCCCACTGTTACGGTCCTCTACTCTCTTCCTTCTGTCTTCCTGAGGCATCTTGTCTACTTGCAGAGCTATGAGTCCTTTGCACATGACTTCTAAGTTGACTTCCTGTGCATTATACATTTCACTTATTTGTGGAAACTCAGGGCAAGTTGAAACAAGTTGAACCCAGGGCTGGAATGATAGCACAGAAGGTAGGGTATTTGCCTTGCACATAGCTGACCAGGGTTCTATTCCATATGGTCCCTTAAGCACAATTAGGAGTGATTACTGAGTGCAGAGTCAGGAGTAAACCCTGAGCACCACCAGGTGTGGCCCATAAAACAAACAAAAAAAAATAGAAGCTGAACTCATAGAAACAAAAAGTAGAATGGTGGATACTAGGACCAGGGGTGGAGAAAATAGAAAGATTCTGGCCAAAGTGTACAAACGTCCAAGTTATAAAATGAAATAAGTTCTGGGCATCTAATGTACTTCAGAGAATATAATTAATAATACCATAAAGTTGTTAACATCTAAAATTATTAAGATTTATGTGAAGGGCCAGAAAGATAATTCATGGAGTAGGTAAGGAGCTTATTCCCACCACCACATATGGTCCTCTAAGCCTGCCAGGAGTGACTCCTGAACACAGAGTCAAGAGTAAGCCCTGCTCCTACATTATTTAAAAAAAATGAGTAAGCCCTGAGTCCTACCAGATGTGCCCCCCAAACAAAACAGAAGAATAATTATGTGAAGAGATGGAAGTGTTAATTTTAACTATGGTGGTAGTCATTTTGCCATATTGCATTTAATTTAATAAAAAAAAAACTAGCCCAATAAAGCTGGGTTAACACTGTCTTCTAAGCCTCAGAAGATATCCCCAACTGCCAGGAATATATGGCAACATTTTCTCAGCTGACCTTTGCAGCAATTCTGGAAAAAAAGTCAGAGAAGAATCTGAACACATTCCTCAGGTGATAATAAAAACCGCAGACTTGCCAAAGTTTTAGTGGCCGAGCTCTATTTAGAAACTCAAGTTTGGGTGTTCTGTTATGCTATGTTGCACAAAGGAGTCTCGGTATTCCAAATCTAAACTTGTTGGCTTGGGATGTAACTCACTGGTGGAAATGTGCCTTGTTTGTGAGAGTTCCTGGTTTTGATCCCGTGAACAAAAAAAAACGTCCTGTTACAAACTTCCTTTAGCACCCCACTCCATCCTTGGGAAAAATGAAAACAAAAAGCCTGTCTTTGTTTTCTTGGTTTTTGTTTGGGGGTGCCACACTGTCTTCTTGCCTAGACTCACTGGGGGGACCATTGTGTTGATGGGGATGGAACCCCAGGCTCCCAAGTGCAAAGTCTGAGCTACAGCCCTTGAAATCATCCTCCCAGCTGAGATCTTATTTTAAAGTGTCTCAAGATATCTTATTCCCCCCGTTAGTAAGGTTTCTGATCAAGGCTAGAAACCTGAGTCTCGCTGTAGTCTTCCCTCCCCAACTCCCTACCACCCAGCCTACAGATTTGACCTTCAGTGTCTGTAGCTTTCTTTTTGTTGGGTCACACCCAGCAGTACTGGAAATCAAACCAAGGTCTCCCCTCCAGCCATTTTTTGGGTCACACCCAGTGATGCTCAGGAGTTTCTCCTGGTGGTGCTTGGAGATACAGGATGCCTGGATTGAACCTGGGTTGGCCAGGTACAAGGGTACTATTGCTCCAGGCCCTCCCCTTCAGCCATTTGACTTAACTCCATAGCACTGAAATTCATTTTTTTTTGTTTTGGGGCTACACTTGGCAGTGCTCAGAGCTTACTCCTAGCTCTGTGCTCAGGGACCATTCCAGATGATGTTCAGGTGACCAGGTGGTGCTTGGGATTGAATCCAAGTCTCCGACAAGAAAAGCATGCACTCTTTGATCTTTCCCTTTGATCTTTCTCTAGCCCTTAAGTATTTATTTATTTAATTTTGCTTTTTGGGTCACACCTGGCGATGCTCAGGGGTTACTCCTGGTTCATGCACTCAGGAACTACTCCTGGCCGTGCTCAGGGGACCATATGGGATGCTGGGGATAGAACCTGGGTCGGGCCGCATGCAAGGCAAACGCCCTACCCGCTGTGCTATCACTCCAGCCCCTAGCCCTTAAGTATTTATTTCATTCTGTTTTAGCACCAATTGTACCTTGGTATGTCTTCCTTGTAACCTAGGAATCTGCTGGTGTAAGATCCAGTCTAGTTAAACCTTTGTCTTCGATGAAGTATATAATTAGGCCTGAGGAGTACTAAGAGTTTAGGCACATGCAGCTGACCCATTCTATCTCCAGCACTATATATTGTCCCCCCAAGCAGTGCCAGGAATGATTCCTGAGCACAGAGCCAGGAGGAAGCCCTAAGAACCAGATGTGGCCCAACAACCCCCTCCCAAGAAAAGGGGGGGGGAATTAAGTCTATAATCTGTGTTGTGAAACACAGCAGGTCCTTTAATAGAAGGCTATTAAGATTTTCCCCTTATTTGGAAACAAGTTACACAAAGGACCACATTCCTGTGGGTGGGGATATACCTCATGTGTATCACACAGGCCTATCCTGTGCAAGGCTCTGAGTTCAATCCCTGTTACTGCATGGCACCCCAAGCACCCCCATGTGTAGCCCTGGTGTCCCCACCCAATCTGTATCACTAGGTTAAGTACTGAGAGCTTCAGAAGCAAGGGAGGGGCCTGAAGTTCTCAGCAGAGAACTGATGGGTAATGGGTGTGAGCCCTCTTAAAATGTTAAAAGCAGACTAGATACAAGGAAGGTGGTTGCCTTTCAAGCAACTGACTAGGTTCATACCCGAACCCCATATAGTCTTGTGAGCAGAGACGAGTGATTCCTGAGCACAAAGCCAGGAGTAAGCCCTATGCATCGCCAGGTGTGATTTCACCCAAAAATGTTAACCGGAGTTTAGACAGAGTGAGTAGCAGTGCTTGTCTTGCATAGTCAACATGGGTTCAAACTCCAAAACTCTGTATGGTTTCTGAGTAATCCCTGAGCCCAGAGGCAGAAGCAAGCTCAGAACACTGCTGAGTGTGGCTCAAACACCAACCGAAAGGCCAGAGAGATGGTATAGTAAGCAGGGCAGTTGCCTAGCATGCAATTAACCCGGGTTTGATTTCCAACACCCCATATGGTTCCCTGAGTCCTGTCAGGAACAATCTGAGCACAAGTAGCCCTGAGCACAGCGGGGCGTGGCTCAAAAACCAAAAAAGTCCAAATTCCCAATGGATTCAGTCAGTGACACAAAAGTGACTTTCCAGTTGAGATGAACACCTCATTTCTTTATCCCTTGATAAATGAAGTTACCCAGCACTGCTACTTTGTATGCCTCACTTCACCAGACATGCCACCCTCCTTGCCCTCTGTCTCTGGGCAAAGACAAAAGACCATTTGAACTCTTTATTGGAAACAAACAATTTTCAGAGACAAGTTAGTCGTGACAACAGCTTCTCACTACAACACAAGGGCGGGCATGGCTCACTGAAGGGACAGGCCAGGCACCTGAGAACAATATGTACAATTTAAACAGTGGCTAAACCGATGACAGTTATAAAAACACAAAAAAGGAGGCAGGGAAACAGCAAAGCCAACAGGGAAACTGGGAACCCCCTCCCCTGCCGGTCACTTTGCACCTTCTGGAAGTACACGGGCAAGATGAGGGACACACAAGATGTGGGCCTTGGGTGCAGGACCCAAGCTCACAGCCCCTCAAACCTTTCTTTTGACCACAGATAAGATCCAGCATGACCCAGGGGCCCCAGACATGGCCTAGCTCTTACAATGGGGGGTGGGAGAGGGCAGGAAAGGGAAGAAAGAACAAGAGAGGGCAACCAAGCCCCAGCCCAAGTCAGAAGATAGTTTTTGCCTTGGGAAGTCTGTTCACTGAACTAAAGGGAGGCAGTTACAGAGGAGGCTATGCATGTTGACACCAAGGCTCATGCCAACCTAACACGGCAGAGATAGACAACACATACCAAGGGGACAGAAATCTACTCCCCATATTTAAAGTCATTCTCTGCCTTGAGGGAGAACAAAAGCATTTTTAACTGCAGCACAAACGAGTGACTGCTTGCAGGGGTGAGGAAGGGGAACAAGGAGGTGAGGGGAGTCCAAGAACCAGTGATCTCACAGGAAGGGTGGGCTAAGCTCTGTGTATGAAGTAAATGATCCCCTCATTACTTTTATCCCTTTCAACGCAGACCACTGAGTAGCGTGAACAAGGGAAGAGGAGAGAAGAGATTGGGCACAGGACAGAGAAGGCAGCTGGATTGTTCCCTTGCTCAAACCAGGAAACAAGGGATTTTACTTACATGGGATGCGTTGGGAACCCCAGAGCCAACAGGATAGTGAGAGCTATGAACACGCCACCCAGAGTATGCCCATGAAAAGGGCTTTTACTCTGAAACATCAAAAATGGCCTACCTGGGGATTTGCCCATCAGTGGGACCAGCCCCCTTCAGCGCAGAGGACTGGGGCCCTGTGGGTATCAAGTGGTATGGAAAGAGGTAAAAGCCAGAGGTTCCTAGGGAGGGCAGGGAATGGATGAGCAGAAAAGGGCAGTGAGGGCCCTTCGAAACTGTTGGTTCCTGGGCCAGTGGCCTCGGGTGGCATGGTCACAGGACAGACAACGGTGTGAAAGTTGGTGCCAGCGAATGCGAGGGCTCAGTCCAGGTCTTCGTCCGCCGGACGACCCAGCTCCTCGTATATCTCACGCACGGCGAGAATGCGATTAAGCATGCTCTCCAACATGCTGCGGTCCATAGGGATCACGGAATACCAGAGAGGCGACTCAGCGATGCACGATCGCTCAGGTTGCAGATAGAACACATCGTTGCGTGACCGGAGGCTTTCAGGACTGGCAGGATAGGGGCAGGGAGGGATGGGTGGACAGAGATAAGTGCCAGGGCTGAGACTAGTCCTCGCATTTCCCTGTTTGTGCCATTCCCACATCGCCTAAGCCCAACTCACCATTTGGAGAGATAGAACTCATAGAACTTGACAGGGCAGCGCAGGGGATTCATGCGGTTCTCACGCTGCTCTAAGATAGGAGCATCATCTTCTCTCTTCCGTTTCCCAGGGCCTGTGTCTGGACCACAAGAAAATAACTCAGATTTGGTAAAAGCAAAAGCTCAGGTTCAATGAGTCGTTCCAAGGGCAGTTACAAGGCACAGGGTGAAGCTCTCAGGAAGCAAAACACAGTCTCACCAAGGAACAAAGAAGAAAAGGAGTCTGTCATTCCCCACAGAGAATACCCTGTGTTGCTCAGCCTTCCCTGATGCTCAGAAGCTCTTCCTGGCTCTGCATGCAAGTAATCCACGGTGGTGCTCAAGGAACCATACGTGGTGCCAGGGATTTAAAAAGGAGTAGTATGCAGGGCAAGCACCTTAACCCCTATACTATACTGTCTCTCTGGTCCCTCAAGTGTTTGTGTGTGTGTGTGTGTGTGTGTGTATACACATATATATATATAGAGAGAGAGAGAGAGCTGAAAAGTTAGACTCTTAGACTCACCTTTAGAAATAGAGAAAACAGCAATGACCCCACCCTCCCTAAACCTTCATATAGTGTAATGTCTTGCACACGGACAACCTGGGTTTGAGACCTGGCACACGTTCGGTCACCTGAGCCCCTCCAGGAGTGATCCCAGAGAGCCTAGCCAGGAGTAAGCTCTGAGCACCACTGGATATGGCAAAAAACATCCCCAAACACAGATAAAAGGCTAGAGAGATAGCTCCAAGGGCTACTGTACATGCTTTGCATGACGGGATGGGGCGGGCAGAGTCCAGGTTTGATACCCAGCACCACCACTGCAGCCAAAAACAAAAAGAGGGGCCAAAGGATAATACAGTGCATAGGGTGCTTGCCTTGCAAGCTGACCTGGGTTTGATTCCTGGCACCTCATATCACTCCCCAAGCCCTGCTAGCAGTAATTTCCAAGCACAAATCCAGGAGTAAGCCCTGAGCATAGCTGGGTGTGGCACAAAAACCAAGTTCCCAAAATAAAAGCAGAGAGGGCCAAAGAAACAATAGTGGATAGGGTACTTGCTTTGCAGGCAGCCAAGCTGAGCTCAATCTCTAGCACCATACTACAGTCCACCAATCCCCCACAAGAAGTGATCCCTAAGCAGAGAGCCAGAAGTGAGCTCTGAGCACTGCCTGGTATGTTCCAAAAACAAAAAAGAAAAATAAAAATGATTAAAAAAAGGTGAACAAGCAAGCAATCTGCCTCGAAATCAGAAGAAGCCTGAAATGGCAGCTCGATGACCTCATGTTTATACAACAACCATTGCCCATCAGATCAAAGAAAACGGGCAGTTTCCACCTTTTCCGTAAACACAAGAATGCAGGACAGGGAGGCACGTGGCAAAGAAGTGGATCCCCTTGGCATTTATGACATGATATGAAAGTGGGGGCAAGCGGGCAATGGGGATGATGTAAAGTGGGCAGTCTCGTACCTCGCCCTTTCCTCTGGCGGACAGGTGCATAGTAGCGGATGCTCACCACCTTGGTGGTACCCCGAGGGGTGGTACACTTGCGGGACTGTCGCACCACATTGGAGAAAGAGAGCTGCATGTGCTCTTCAGCTGTCTGCAGCCCAAAGAACTTAGTGTTGAAGAACATGAGGGTGTTGAGCAAGACGAAGGGTGAGTAGACCCCGAGCTGCTTACACTCCCAGAGGTGCTCTTCCTCCACCCGGGTGAACACTGTATCTGCAATGTTTCAAGAAGAGAGGAGTGTCAGGAGTGAGTGGTGACCTGAACCCCCCACAGGTCTGGCACGTGAGTGCTGACTCTCACTGGCATTAGCCAGAAACCCCTGACACCTTGCCCTCCCCAGCAGGCCTGGTGGTTTTTCAGTCTCCACCTGTTCTCAGAGCTACTGTCACTGCCCTCGTGTTCCAGGCATCTAGATGGAAACATTGAGGACTTGCACACCTCTCCCTTTCTCTTTACTTCCCAAACAAACCCACACCATCAGTTTTGGTCTTCGTTCTTCCGACTGAAGTCTTGGTCTGAAAACAGGTCCCCGCTCTTCGGCACACTAAACCCTACCCACCAACGGAGCATACTCGCGCCTTCAGACTCTCGAGTCCTGGGCTTCCAGAATGGAGGAAAAGAGCACATGGGGTAGGAGTACAAAATCCCTATCCCTTACTGTTAGGGAGGAGCGTGGGCTGCCAGGTACTCAGAGACTTGTTGAGTTCTTGAACGAAAGTCAGGTAGTAAAGGTCCGTGAAAATGTTCACCATTCGGTTATTTTCCAGCAAGTACTGGGAAAAGAAACACACACACATACACACACACACACACGCAGAAAACTCAGCACTAGGTCCTAAATGAAAAACTATTACACTGTGCATCTCAAGCATGGTGGCCTCAATCATTGTTAGAAGATGATGGGTAACAGTGCCCCACAATGCTTCCCCCAGGCAGAGATCCAATTCGAATTACCAAGGAGGAGGTTTGGAGAGCTATTCCATCTGCTTCTTCATAAGCCCAGACTCAACCATCAGATTTTGGCACAGCTGACTTCTCCCCACGGGAATCCACTAGTCAAAGAATCTCACTCCCCACTCCTCCCCTTCCCAGAATGGACTTGAGGATTATACAGGGGTACCTGAAGAACAGTGCTCCTTGCTCAACAGCCTCGGGGATGCAGCTTTGAATTTAGAAAAATAGGGACCTCCCATGTCCTGTTTGGAATAGTGGACAAAAGGCAAACTGCCGGGCCCAGGGTGAGGAAGACACATCCACAGAGTGGGGGTAGGGGAACCCTGCCTTCCACGCTGAGAGTGAGGCAAAGTAAGGCGGGGTGCCAGGGGGTACCTGTTGGATACCAAGACACAGATAGTAGATGCTGTCAGGCTCATATCTTTCACCATTGGGCCGGGTAATTTCTCTCACAAACTGGGCAAGTCCATAATTGAGCTCAGCAGCTGAACAGGCCAGAATATCCTCTTTGATCCTCATAGGCTTGGCTGCAATTAAGATGCATAGGATTATGAAAATGTCATGGGAGAATTTCATCCAGTACTGCCTTCCGCACCCCCCTCCTTCCAGCCCACCCCATGAGCCCCTTCCTCCCAGCTTCAAACACAGGCATGCTTTACAAAAGGAACCCTTATCTTATTTTCTTTTTGGTTTTTTGGGCCACACCCAGATGTGTTGGGGTTACTCCTGGATCTGCACTCAGGAATGACTTCTGACAGTGCTCAGGGGACTACATGAGATGTCCAGGATCAAACCTGGGTTGGCTGCATGCAAGGCAAACACCCTCCCTGCTGTACTGTCTTCCCATCGCCAGCATCTTCTCCCTTTATCCCACAAACTCCTTCCTATGTTCCCAGGGCACCTGTCTCACTCCTAGACATCTGCAGCTCCAGCACAGTCCTGCTGCTCTTCCCACCTGCCTTCTTCACCCCGGCCTGGCCCAGGACTTACGGCCAAAGCGCAGCTCATCCCCCTTGCTGGTTTCTCCATTGGCATATTTCGACTGCACCCAGCACTTCCAAGCATTTACTCCATAGGAATAGTTGAGTCCAGTACAGCTAGGTTGGCTGCTCATAGAGTCCCGGGAACAACTCTCTGAAAGCACCAGCCGCTTTTGACCCTGGAGGACGAGGAGGGCAACAGAGCTAAGGCCAAGGTCTCCATAGAAGTGGGAAAGGGACTGACAGACTAAACACAGCAAGGTTTCACAGCACAACCTCCAGACCCAGGCAGTGCTGATGACCTCAGACTGTGAGAGCTCCAAGTTAGGCTGCGCCTCAGCACTCTCAGTGGTAGAGAAAGGAACTTTGGGGGGGGGGCGGTCAAGCTAAGTCACGAAATTTGTTGTTCTGGGTGCCAGCAACCCTCTCCTTACCTTCCTCATGGTTCGGGGAAGCTCTTGTTCAGTAGGCACGTCCTCAGGTCCCACTAGGCCACAATCAAAGAGGAAGTCCACGCTGGGGTTAATGTCCAAAGGATCTATCCAAAAGGAGAGGAAGAAGAAATCAGTGTTTTCAGCTTTCAACCCAGTCACGTACCAACCCTACCCCTACTACTTTCCCACCTAACTCAAGAAGAACCCCCCCAGAGAGCATCACTAGAGTCCACAGAACTGGCAAAACTAAACCAAGAACATACTCAAGAGATACCAAAAATATAGCCACTCTCAACAAGGTGAATGTTTTTAATGCTATAAAGCTATACGCTGAAAAACAGTTCCAATGTACTTTCTGTTACGTGTCTTTTCACTTTTTTATTTTGGGGACATACCAGGCAATGATCAGGGGGTCATTCCTGGCTCTCCACTCAGGAATCACTCCTGGGGGGCTCAGGAAACTACATGGGAGGCCAGGGATCAAACCCAGGTCAGATGCATGCAAGGCAAGCACCCTACGCACTGTGGTATCTCTCCAGTCCATGTTCCGTATCTTTTTAAACCACAGTTACACATAAAAACAGAGAGACACACACCAAAACAAGACTTAAGTGTAAACCAGAGAGTGTTCTGTCAGGGTTCTCAGGAGCACTGTTTAGGGTGGTCACCTCAGGGTCCCAAGAATCACCCCCCCTTTCTGAGATAATGAAAGTAACAATACTCAATGAGCATGCCTTGGGAGTGCTCACTCTTGGGGAAATCCGCCTCCAAGTCTTGTCCAGGTTCATCCAAGACATTGGCCATCTTAACAGCCATGGCCAGGACATCATCTCGGGCTGGTCCGAACAGGTCACAGTCTTCTAGAAGTCCCTCTGCACTCTGGTTGCTCACAAGATCTGGGAGGCAGAGACAGGCCCTGTCACTGCAGTTCCTGCCCTAGCGTCCTCACAGGGTTTCGAGGGAGGGAGGGAGGCGATCCCAATTAAGTCTCCACACAACAATAACCCTCTCCAGCCCCCAAGACAAAGACAGAATGGGAGCCCTCCCCCTCCCATTTCTCCCTCATCACCGCCACCCAGAGCCTACCACAAAGGTCAGATGAGGCCTTGTCTAATTCTTCAGCCTCTGCAATCATCTCTGCCATAGCCAGGATGTCGGCCTCTAAGGGATTCGAGGGGATCTTCACCTTCAGCTCCTCAATGGTCTCCACGATCTTGTCTGTGCTCTCCAAGGTAGTAGGCAGGAACATAGGCACAGGCACCTGGAGGCACCAATTCCAAGAAATGACAAGAACCACACAGGAAAATGGAAAGGAGCCACTGACAGGAGGAAGGCTGGAGAGCAAGGCCTCCTACTGGGCGGGGCAGGGCCACTTACCGGGATAGGCATTGAGAAAGGCACCGGGACTTTCTGGCAGTACAGATGCATAGGCACTGGCACAAAGATGGGCACTGGGATTGGCAGCACAATCACTTGTGGTTTCCACTCTTCTACAAACGACAAAACAGGGGAATATCTGAGTCCCTGAGAGATGGTTCACGTCTGACCCAGGATCCGGTACTTGCCTATCATCCCAAGAGCACTCACTGTGTGCTCACTGCCCTCTAATTGCTATAGAGATAGTAGAGTGAATAAGTTGCCTGTTTGCACTGCCAGGGGTCACTCCTGAGCACACCTGGGCAGAGCCAGGAATAGGCCCTGAGAGCCTGCCAGGTGAGGTCCAATTTTTCACCCCTCAAAAAACTTTCCTCGGGGCTGGAGAGATAGCACAGCGGGTAGGGCGTTTGCCTTGCACGCGGCCGACCCGGGTTCGATTCCCAACATCCCATATGGTCCCCTGAGCACCTCCAGGAGTAATTCCTGAATGCAGAGCCAGGAGTAACCCCTGTGCATCGCCAGGTGTGACCCAAAAAGCAAAAAAAAAAAAAAAAAAAACAACTTTCCTCAAACCAGAAACCACTATCATATGCATCCACCATTACCACCGTCCAGCTCCTGGTCCAGGGAGGGTGACCTTGCATGAGAGAAGAATTATCTGGGGTGCTGAGGGACCCTAGCTCACCTGTCTGAATCCCTTTGGACTTCATCTCCACCTTGCAGGAGACCCCCCGGTTCTGCATCAGTGGCTTACACATGGCAGCTTTGTTTTTGCGAGGGGTGGCTGGGGGCGGAGGTGGTGGAGGAGTGGAAACAGCCGAAGTCAAGCGGGTCTTTGTAGGGATCTACAGAGATCACAGAATGTCAGCAATGACAGTGTACCTTCCTCTGTGACCATCACCCACCCTGCCCGGGCTTCACCCTCACCTTGTTCAGGTTCACTTGTACCTCCGAGGTCTTCACTGTGTTGCTATTCTCCACTTTGGTTTGCAAGGGGGTCTGGGGCTTTGACTCAGAACACTGACCTGTAGGTCCAAACAAATGAATGCTGTCATTGGAGAGTCCAGCACCCCATTTGTTTCTGCTCCCCTCCATTTGCAAGGGAACTTCATGGAGAGGTCAACCTAATGGGAAATTCCCCTCCTGTCGCAAGCCACACCCCAAGTATAGTCTTCTCCATGCCCCAATCAATCCTGGTGACCAAGATAAGCCACTGCTCCTGGCTTCTGCGGAGAATGAGAAATGATAGCAGCTTCCACAAGTCTAGCACATGAGCCCTTCCATGTGGATGACACTAGGAGTCTACAGCCCTGAGTGCCAGAGAAGTCTGAGACAACCATTAGTCTCACACAGGAAAGAGAGCCTATGTTTTGATTTCCTTCTCTCTGAAACCTAAGCAGAGACACCCCCTGCTGTGCCACATCCTCCCTAAACTGGCATCCCTTAGAGCAAAGAGGCAACTCCAAAGTCGAAGAACTTGTGAACCATATCGTCCCTCAATTATTGGAGAGTTCGGCAACTACAAGAGAATAGAGAACAACTACAAGAAACTCTGGCCAAGGTGCGAGACACAAGAGAGGTGACGGAGAGGCTAACCCGTTTGAACAGAGAGGGTGCCCCCCCACCTGGCACTTACTGTTCAGGAGGCTCTCGGGCCCACTCTGTGTATCCATGTTGGGTTGGTTCTGCTGGCTATAGAAGCGCAGCAGACACTGCTGGTTGCAGAAATGACGGATCTGCCCGCGCCAGTGGATGGTCTCCAGTAGCTTTCCCTGGCGTTTACAGGCATGGCACCTGGCAGCCTTAGGGTGTCGACAAGACGGTTAGATTGGTCCTTCTGAAACAGGCTGGGTCTTATGTCCTAGGATAGATCACGCTGCTTCCCCGGAGAGGGGGCGAGAGTGGCCCACAATCCTGTTATTTTTTTCCTTGTCTGCTTTGGGGGCCACATCTGCAGGTGCTCAGGGTTTACTCCTGACTCTATAGTCAGGAATCACTCCTGGCGGGGCATGGGGGGGCCACTTGGGGTGCCAGGGATTGAACCCCAGGTCGACTGAAGGCAAGGCACGTGCCCTACCCGTTGTACTATGGCTCCAGCACCAACAGCTGCGTACACTGACTGCAGCACTGCCACTGCCTGGGTCCCCTCCTTTCTGACACTCTGTCCCCCTTACCTTGCAGTACCACAGCAGGTACTTGCTCTTACAGTCCTCGCTGCAGAAGTCCCAGGCACTGCCATCCAGCTGCTCCGTGACCCCACGCTGGCAAGTCTGAGAGCAGTAAGTGCATGTGATACAGCACAGCCCCAGCTTCTTAGTGAAGTCCTGTTTGTAGAGCAGCACACAGCCTGGAATGTGGGGGAGGGGGCAAAGCCAGAAAAAGTCCTGAGCCACGGAGGGTCCCAGAGGCACTCAATCCCTCCCGCACTCCAAGACTCCCAGACGGGCAGAACGCAGAAGGCCCTTACCCTAGACCGTCTTCCACCCTCCCCTTCTCCTTGGCCCCCCCTTACCTTCACTGCAGAAGCTTTTCTCCACCCCACTGAATCGAAGCTTCTCGTGCAGGAGTTTCTCCTGCCGGCAATGCTCACACTGGGACACCACACCCCTGAGACGCTTGAAGTCCTCACAGCAATCTCGGCAGCAGAACTGAAACACCTGGTCCTAATGTGGGGAGCATGGAGATAGGGTAAGGAAGGGCACAGCTGTGACATCTGATTCTGGCAAGAGCCGAGTGGAAGGACCCCTTCAAATGACTGGGCCTGTGGCAAGATGTGGTGAGGGGTGGAGGGTAAGGGGGTCTTACCTGCCAGTCCAAGACCTCAGGCTTGCCACTGAAGAGGCTGTGGCAGTAGTGACAGCTCAGGTGAATGCCCCCCTCGGGGCTTGCACGCTGGAGGGAAGGAAGACAAGTAAGGGATGGGCACGAGGTGTGTGCTGGTGGGGGCGTGGGGAAGCCAGGCTTGTTCTTGGCTCTGCCCAGACCTACCTACCCCAATTCTCATACCCTCTTTCTGTCGCCACACCCTTTATCCCTGGTCCAGGGTCTGGAGTACCTGGAACTTGGTCCAGCAGCTGGGGCTGCAGAATTGGTAGACTGTGCGATCAACCTTGTTGTAGTAACAGGGGTCAGAGAGGCTGCGGCGGCAGAAGCTGCAGGGTCGGGGAGGGCCTGGGGCATAGAGAGAAAGGGAGCAAGAAAGGAGGGGAGAGAGAGGGAGAGGGAGGGAGGGAGGGAGGGAGAGAGAGAGAATGCATACAGAAGGTGTGAGGCAGTGCAGAGATGGAACAGGAAATCCACGGGAAGATGTAGTCGGGGCCGATATCGGGCACCAGGAGTTACTTTAGAAGAGGGGAGTATGGGAGGTAGAAAGGAGGCCAGCAGGGGGTCTCAGAGAAGAGGGCTTTGCACCTACCAGTGAGCCCTGCCTGCTTCACTTTGTAAGAGGTGGTACAGCACAGGGAACAGAACAAGCTGGTCTTGCCATTACGATCCACATGTGATAGCATCTCAAAGTTCTTACACAGGGTCTTGCACCAGACACATGGGTACACACGTGTGTTTTTCTGTGAGGATGGGGAAGGAGAGGCTGAGGCTGGATTTGACCCTTCGCTTTTATTTTTTAAATGTTTAAAACATGAGTTTTCAGGCATACAAAAAAAAGTGATGATATAACAAAGACCTGTGTATCCACCAGCCAGCTTTAAAGAGAAAACATAACAGATACAACTGAAGCCCCCTTTATTTGCTTTATTCCTCCCGGCCCTTGACCCATCAGGGACCTTTATTTATCACCCAAGAACCGCACCCCCTTCCACAGCCCTCTAAAAAACACACTACTCCCTCGGCCCCACCTTCTTGTATGCCCCCAAGCAGGTTGTGTTGCAGAACCGCTTTTGTTGGCCCTCGTGGAAAAGGAGCTCAGGGCCAGCGCTCCCGGTCTTGGTGTAGATGTAAGCCCCGCACTGGTCACAGCAGTTGGTTTTCAGTCCCTTGTTGGCCCGGAATTTGGAGAAGCAAGAGTCGCTGCAGAGCCGGTGCACCACGCTGCCGTTGCTGACCTCGTGCAGGACCTGCCATACACACACACCCCTGAGCTGGGGCCCAGGGCCCGGCCACCGCCAACCACCCACCTTGACGCAAGGACTGCCCACCCAGCCTCACCCTAAACCTTCAAACCAAACCGTGGACCCCGGGACCCCTCAACCTGTATATCAGCCTGCCGACTTGATGGTGAGATCCTGGGTGGCAAGGAAGGACAGTTGCACGCATCCTGGAGAAGCTCTTTGCGTCAATACACCCCGAGACGGCCGCCTGCCCTCCCCGCACCCTACCTCCACAGGGCCTGGCCCTGCAGCACCCCCTGGACTCAGGGGCAGCAAGTCAGGGCCATCCAGGCTCTGTAAACGAGCTCCCCGTGCCAGCTGCCTCACCTCTCCGGTCTTCTGGCATATGCTGCACCGGGTGGCATCAGCGGGATCCCCCGTCTGGGGACTGGGGCGCTGCTGCTGGGCCTCGTACAAGGAGAGGCAGACTGAGGTGCAGAACTCATGGAAGGAGCCTCCAGAGCCAGTCTGCGCCACCACTGAGTCCTTGGTGTTCCAAATCTCCCTGAAAGAGGAACAGGTGTGAGAGGCGCTCTCAGCCCTGGTCGCCTTGACCTCCACCCCCTCCCCTCCCCAATCCACCTCCCGCCCAGTGCTGCCACCTGCTGCGGGGGGAGGGGAAGGGAAGGCCTTGCCTGCTGTCAAGGCCTCACCCACTGTTCCCGGGCTGCTGCTCCCTGCAAACCCACAATCCGGAAGCTGACTTACTTCTTACAGAAGGTGCAGGTCTTCTTGCCAGAGGGCTTCTTGGAGAAGGTGGTGAGGCAGGATGAGGAGCAGAAGAGCTGAGGCAGCCCCTTGCGCTGGTAGGCGGTCTGCCCCTTCTGCAGCGGGGTCCGGCAATGTGCACATGTCATCTTGGTGGCTGTCGAAGAGCGCCCGGCCCTCTGTGCCACGCTTGAGCGAAGGGACATGCGAGGAGAACGGCGGGGCCGGAATGGCACAAAGTCTTCATCATTGGGGTCATCTACCATGGCGTCAGAATCTTCATCTGACACTGGAACTAAGGAAGGATGGGAGGAAGGGGCCTTGAGATAAAAGCTTCTGGCCAGGTCTCAAGCCAGTCCCACATCCCCACCACACCGCTGGCCCCAGGGCCTCCAGGTGAGTGATTCTCAGGGGTGTCCTAAGCCACTGGCATCCCTATCTCCCTCAGTGGTGACTCAGATCTCCCCCCCCACCCCCCGAGAGAAAAACGGAGGTGAACCCTTTGAAGGAAAGAAGACTTGGGTGGGGATGGTGGCGCCGAAATGGGAAACTCCATTCTCACTGCTCTTGTGTTCAATTTCCCCGCACTGCCCCTGGTTCCCATGCCAACCCAGAGCAGGGCAGGCATTTCACACTGCGGGCGGTGCTGGGAGGGGCTGGAGGAGTGGGGAGAACTGGGGCCTACCGCATCCCACTCCTGGCTCTTCTCCCCATCCAGGACTCCCAGGTTACGTGTGTGCATTTGCTAGGCCTACTCACTGCTCTCAGTGGAATCCACCACCTCGGGTTTGGGAGGCTCTGCCCGCCGAACGCGTTCACTTCTCTTCTGCACCTTGGAAACAGGGGAAGGCGGAAAACTGACACCCTGGACCAGCTAAGAGGCCAGCTGCACTCGTGCGGAGAGGGGGGTTTGGGTGGGGATCAGGCGATGGGAGGGGGCAGGGAGACAAGGGACCCCCTGGCCCCAGCCCCTTGGAGGGAGGAGGGAATCAAAAGAGGCTGGACTTTTTGGTTCAGTAGACACAAAAGCTCCCTCCCTCCCGCCTTCCCTCCGCCCACTACCTCTCAAACATGCGCTCCACAGAACAACATCTGGGAGGGGAAATGAAGGGTCTCTCTCTCTCTCTCTCTCTCCCCCTTTCTCTCTCCCAGAGCTATAGAGGGAACCAGACTCCTTCCATTCCCCTCCCCCGCCTCACCCTCTCAGGTGGCTTCTCGGGAGCCTTCCCAGTCAGGCCATCTCCTGCAAAGGAAGCAGAAAGCCGCTTAAATCTGCAGCCTGCCCTCACCGCCACACCCTCGTTTGGCCCAAGCCCTGCCTCAATCCCTGGGGAATAATGGACTCCAACCAGGAGTAGAGAAAACTTGAACGCCTGTGGCTTTTCTTGAGGCTTTTTTCTCAAGCACTGTACTAAAGGAAGGGAAGTACAGTGAATTCTTCAGCCCCCACACACAAAAAGCCTCAGAAAATTCAAATCGTTTCTCATTAGCTTTCCGTCCCAATAATGAAAAGTTCAAGAAATACAGATAACTCACCTTTCACTGAGAATTCCTATTTCCAAGTAAATATTTTGCAGTCCCTCCCCCCCTCCCAAATGCAACCGTCCCAAGGTAGCCAGGAGGGAAAAGAAGCATTCCTGTACGGTTTGGTTTCCTGGACTGGTTATATAAGCCCTAAGACCCTGGTCACAAGCTAGGAGAGGCACATCACTAGGCAGAGCAGCAGCAGGGGGGAAGAGTTGGGGGAGGGGATGAAAGTGGCTCAGGTCTAGGTTCTCCTTTATCAGACACACAATCCTAGGCCCTCACATTTCCACCATTCCTCTGAAAGCCGTGTGCTTGCTACTGGGGGCTCCCCAAGCTAGTTATCATTCATCAAACTCAGGAAGCCCTCTGTTATCTCGAAAAACACCGGCAAAAAAGTGCTTAGAAGCAGGAAGCATGGTGTTCTCCCCCCAGATTCTGAAGGAAGAACCCTGACACCAAAATACCCACTGGAGAGGGCGAGTCAAGAAAAGGGAACCTCCACAAGCAAATCCACGTATTTCCCCCTCTCCTATTTCTCCCCCTCAAGTACTAAGGTTCCCCCAGCCATACTTTCCCTTACCTTCACCCCCACTTCTCTCTGATACCCCCTACCCATAAAAAAATCTCTACTCCTCTACCTAGCCCTCCTCTGTTTCCTCCACTCCCTTCTTCCCCAAACAAATGGTCACCCTATCCATCCCACCTTCATTCTCCATTTGGTTAGGCAACCTACCTGGCAAGGAAGGTTGTGCAGAGGGGCTAGGACCTCCAGATTTGGTCTGGGAATTGCTGACTCCATCCCCCAGAGTGTCTCCCACTGATGGGCTGGGGGGGGCATTTGGGCTCTGTGGCTGTCCTTGGGAGGGGAGTTCCTCCTCCTGCCCAGAAGAGCCCTTTCTCCCTGTATCCATAGAAGTGGTCTCGTCGTCGTCAATATGGGGAGACTGCAGGGTTATTGGGGAATCGGAAACCAAAGGCTCGAGTAGCCCCTCTGGTGACGAGGGATTCGCTCCAGCCCCTGGATCAGGGGGCAACACCTCAGGAGGCTGGCCATCTGGTCCAGGCTCTAGTGTGTGCTCCCCTGTACCCCACACAAGGGCACCCTCGGAACTGTGTTCCACCTCTGGAGGAGAGGGGGCTTTGTACAGCAGCCCCCCCAGCCCCAGCAGCTCAGTGGCTCCATCCAGAACTCCAGGGTCTTTTTCCAAGCCAGCAGGAGTATCAAGCAGGTCGAGAGCTCCTGAGGAGGGTGAAGGGCCAGTGGGGGCCCATCCTCGACTTGGGGCGGTCTGGGATTCCAGTAGATCTTCTCCAAACTCCATGTCCACTGGAAGGTCTCCAGCCAGCGGCTTGTCCGGCAGGGTCAAAGGGTCAAATGGACTGGGAAAATCGCCGGGGTCCATGAGGATGGCTGGATAAGGGCTGCAGAGGGAGAATGCACAAGAGAGGAGGGGGTCTCCACAGCGTAATTTCGTTTTAGATAAGCTCTGGGACACACCCCATCATCCACTTGAATTTCTCACCAAGAGCCCCCGCAGCAACCAACAAGCGTTTCCACTAAGCATTTCTACAGCGCGGGCTTTAATCCAAAATGACCACTCCCCCCCACCCACATACAGCGCCCCCTGTGGGGAGAGGCATTCCCCAGCCTGGCCCAGTGCCCACTCTCATCAAGAGACCTTAGTTCCAATCGGCTGCCTGCCCCCGCCACCCCACTGCAACTCTGTTACCCCTCCCCCTCTTACCTTTTCTCCCCGCCCCCCCACTCGGGCTGAACGCCCCCTTACAGTCCCCCGGAGCTCTTGCCACCGGGAGCTTTTCCCGCCCCCGCGATTTCACCTTCTTCCCCCTCCCCACTCCCCCAAAGCCCCATAGCTCTTCAGTTTCACCCACCCGGACTGGCCCCACCCCCCCATCCCCTCGTTGCAGGGTCCGTTCCCCTCGCACCCACACACTGTCCTACCTACCCACTAGCCCCCCTTACCTTCGCGGGTCTTGCACTTCCTCGGACCCGTCCCCCTCCCCTACAGCTCCCTAGTCCTCTTCCTCCTGTTGCCCACCCCCCACCTTAGGCATTTACAGGAAGACATTTTGGAGCTACGATCTCTCCTTAGACCCCCCCCACCTCTTCTCACTCCCAGCTACTGCGAGATCCCGCCAGCCGAGGTTCGGTTCGGTTTCATCGGGCCTGACCCCTACCTGCGGCAGGGTTAGTGTACCGGTTACAAGCCTAGAACTGCAGACAGCGAACAGCCCCGCGCTCCTTCTCCACCTCCCTCCCTAGCAGCCGGGACAGGGGTCGCGGCCCCTTTAAATGGCAGCGCCGCTCACAGCGCCCAGCGCTCTGCACCAGGCGGGCGGGCGGCGCCAGAAACCAACGCCATTGGCTGGCTCGTGGAGGGGGCTCGCGAGACAGCGCCGGCCCCCGGCGCGAGACTCCCAGCCCAGAGGCCGCCTGGAAATTGCGGACTGGAACACAGTCATTGGAGATGGAGTTTGCGCCCCCACCCGGGGCCCCGTTAGTTGAGAAGGAAATGATAGCCGCTGGAGCTTTGAATCCCGCTCCCCGGGAAAGGCGGCGTGCCTTTTCCGCCGAAGGATCTAGTACCCTAACCCCCAGGAAACATCAAAGCACCTGCCCCCTTACCTGGCTTAAGGGTCTGGCCCCCTGTCACACGGGCGCCCGCCCAACCTCCTGGAGCCCACTCTACCCGTGATCCCCTCCTCTCATTCAAATGCTTCCCGGTCCCCTCCCCCTCTCCGTGTCTTTCGGCGCTTTCCACTCGTGTTCAATACTCCCCTCCGCGTCTGCCCTCCTCTACAGTCCCTACCTACTTAACGCCAGGCTGCAGGCCTGCCTGCCAAGATTACCCTCCCCAACCCCACCTCTCTGGGGGCCTGCCCTCAGGGCAACTGTTGGCGCTGGGAGCAGGAGGGTGGGGGAAGGCTGGGGACCCAGTTCTCCAGCGTTCCTCCCAGCTCCTGGTCTTTAGGCCGGCGAGGGGGCTGCTAACCTTTGAGAGTCCTAGTTCGGGGTGCTTTAAGCTTAGTGTCTAGCCACCCTGGGTGGGTTAAGGGTTTGGGGTTCAGTGACAAGGCCTATACAGTCACTTTAGCAGCATAATCTAAACCAGGTACTGCAAAGACACATCTCCAACTCCTTTTAGGGTCCTAGCACTAAGTTCTGGGGGTTCTCTGAGTCTTCATGCAGCTACTTTCATTCCTGCTATGGTAGTTTTCTCACCAAGACCCAGATCTCTCTCTCTCTTTCTCTCTCTCTCTCTCTCTCTCTTTCTCTCTCTCTCCCCCACCCTCTCTCCCACCCCCCTCTCTCTCCATCTGTGTATTGGACTCTGCCAATCTGTGGGTCTCTCTTCATCTCTTTTTTAAAATTTGGTTTTGGTGACACACCTGACAATACTCCAGCCTTATTCCTGGCTCTGCACTCCAGGATCACTCATGGCAGCTTGTGGAGGGAATCATACAGGGTGCCAGGGATAGAACCCTGTAAAGCACCCTACTCTCTGTACTACCCCTTTAGCCCTCACTCAGTATTGTTTTGTCTTAATGTCTCTTCTGTAGGAGCATACTTGTGTATGCACACACACACACACACACACACACACACACACACACACACTCCCCCTTTTGAAATGTATGTAGCATATGGGCCTGGCTGATGTTGAAGCTGGAGAATATGGGTAAGGGGAGTGGGAACTAGAAATTGGCCTATCAAGGGGCTGCAGTGATAGTACTCCGGGGTAGGGTGTTTTCCTTGCACACAATGGACCCAACCCAGTTCTGCATCCCATATGGTCCCCCAAGCCCACCAAGTGTGGCCCAAATAACAAAAAAAGAAAAGAAATTGGTCTATTAGTTTTTGTTTCTTTTTTAAATGTGTGTTAGGCCCATTCTTGATCATTATATTCAGGACCCTTTACAATTTTGCCTTCCCTTGCTCTTGCACCCCCTTCAGAACATTTCAGGTCTGAAATACTAAAAGAGACTCGGGCTAGAGTAGATTTGATGTCCACTGCCTGCTGTAGCCTGTCACTTGGCTCTGGACCTTCCTTCCTTCCCCACACTAATCCTCTCCTGGCCTTAGGTCCTTGCAGAGTTTTCACCTCTCCTTCACTTTCCCAGAAACCTTATCCTTCCTTGCTCCCCACATGGCCTTGTGGCTATCTTTGCTCTGTTCTTTATACAGAGATAAAAGGAAGAATTTTTTCCTTTTGGGTTTTCCAAACTCAGCTTCCTCTTATCGTAACCAGTATTCTGTGCGCCCATCTTCTCCCCTTCTGTTTATTTCTATGTCCTTGCACCTCCCTTTTCCTTTCAACTTGTTCCCTCTCATTTGGACCCCCTAGTTCTTTTGTATTACCCAAACTTCTCACATGTTTACATTGTTAGCTGCACTGGTTTTGGAGTATATCTGACTTCAGTTTGCAGGGAGACACTCTTGTGAGAATCAATGGAGTAATGTTAATCCAGAGTCCATACGAGGGTATAAAAATGTGGGTTCTGGAAAACTGATCAGAATTCTATTTACAATTCTGCCCGCTTTTTAGCCTGGGATTTTGGACAAATCACATGTCAAGTCACTGGGTCTTAGTTTTCTCGCTTTTAAAATATATACGGAAGGAAAGAATCTAGAAAATAGCCAGGAGTAGGTCCTGAGCACCACCAGCTTAGACAAAAAGTCTTTTAAAAGATGACAATCTAAATTTTCAAACAAACTAATGATGCAGAGCAGCAAAGACTAAAGAACAGAGATTCTTTTTGCATGATAGTCTATGGATACTTTTGTCTTTTTTAGAACTCAGGAAATGGAACCAGAGTTATCGCTAAGAGCAAAGGCTACAAGGCCTGGAGCAATACCACCCCAGAGAGCTGAAAGTAGCCTCCCCTCCCCTCACAGGTGGCCCAACTCCCTCCCCCCAAGCCTTAATGAAATGTACAAGAACAAAAGTTCTGTCTGGTACACAATGAGCTCTGTCTAGGAAGATGTAACAATGTAGGGTCATAGATTGTAACAAATTCATCCCCAGGAGGGGCCTTGACAATGTAGGCCCTTTGTTAGGGGGAGGGTCAGGAAGGAGGAAACTCATCTTTTGTTCTAAAACTAAAAATGCTCTAAAAGTAGTCTGTGAAGAAACCTAATGCCAAGCAGGACTAGGGAGATTGATCAAAGGCTTGGCCCATAAGCTTTGCATATAGAAGCCCTGGGCAGACTCCCTGGCATTGCATGGTCCCCTGAGCACCTGAGTTGGGAGTAACCCCCCAAATCACCTGGTGTAGCCATGAAATAAAACAGGGGCTGAAGGGATAGTACAAGCAGGTAAGCCCCACATACACATCTGGGTTCAATCCCCGTGTCTCATATGGTCCCCTGAGCACTGCCAGAAGTAATACCTGAACACAGAGCCAAGAGTAAACTCTGAGCACTGCTGGATGTGCCCCCCCAAAATCAGAGAATGATGCTGGGCTGAAAGAGAACTCAATGAACTCAGCCATTCTGTCTGTGAAGGCACTGCTTCAATCCCTGGAACCACATGGTGTCCCCTGACCACCAAGCACTGTGCTAGGAATAGCCCCTGTGCACTGCCTGATGGGCCCCAAAGTAAAACTAAACAAACTAATGATGTAGAGCATAGAGGACTGAAAGACCAGAAACTCTTTATGTATGATAGTCTATGGATAACCTATCGTTTTGTCTTTTTAGACCACAAAATGGGACCAGAGCTGTAGCTTCAGGGACAGAACAAAACCTGCAAGGGTTGAAGAGATGCAATAATAGAGTTGAAAGGAGCCTCCCCTCCCCCCACCAGGTGGCTCCGCTCCCTCCCCCCAAAAAACCCCCCAGAGCCTCATATGAAACTTACAAGGACAAAAGTCTGGTACACAAAGAGCTCTCTCTGAGGAGTATGTAACAATGTAGGGTCATAGGTTGTAACAAATTCATCTGGGGAAAGGGGTCTTGACAATGTAAGACATTTCTGGGGGGAGGATCGGGAAGCCGGAAACTCAACTTTCAGCTCAAATTTTGTTCTAAAACTAAAACTGCTCTTGAAAGAGGTCTGTTGAGAAACCTCATGCCGGACAGAGCCAGGGAGATTGCTCAAAAGCCTGGCTCACAGGCTTTGCGTGCCGAAGCCTGAGTCCCTGGCACTGCGTGGTCCCCTGAGCATCTGAGTTGGGAGTAGCCCCCAGAACCACCTGGTGTGGCGACAAAGTTAAGCAGGAGTTGGAGAGGCAGTACAGCAGGTAAGGCTCCGGACGGAGATTCAACACCCCTGCCGCATCCTGCCGCATCCTTTACCGGCTCCTGAGCACCATCAGGAGTAACTCCTGAGAATACAGCCAAGAGTAACCCCTGAGCATCTCCAGGTATTATCTAAAAGCTAAAAAAAAATATCCTCCCAAACAAAATTAAACTAACCTAGTGACGGGGAAAATGGTTCTGTTAAAATATTAGTTTGTGGGGGCTGGAGTGATAGCACAGCGGGTAGGGCGTTTGCCTTGCATGCGGCTCACCCGGGTTTGATTCCAGCATTCCGTATTGTCCTCTGAGCACCGCCAGGAGTAATTCCTCAGTGCAGAGCCAGGAGTTATGCCTGTGCATTGCCGGGAGTGACCCAAAAAGCAAGAAAAAAATTAGTTTTTCTTTTTTCCTTTGATAGAATAACTGTGAGAAGTTGGTTCTCAAGTTGTGTTCTACTCTCGGAACCATATAGTGTAAGTGTCTAGACCATCCAGGAGCACGTTGGAGAATTTAGCAGGGGGAGGGGGACAGGATAGGTCCTTCAGAGACCACTCCCCAAGGCCGGGGCTACCCGTATGGAGTGTCCCAGTTCACAGTGCAGTTTATCATTAATGTTCATCTTATAGGTAAGCTCTAGCTCTTCATCAGGACTGGGGTCTCAGGGACGGGGGGCTGGAGCTCAGGTTCCTAGACACTCTCACTCTGCTTTTCCTGTTGAAGGAACTCTTTGGTCCTCAGGCTGTTATCCTGTGACTCTTTTTTTTTTTCAGCTTGGGTTTATTGAAGCTGGCGATTTTCTCCATGTCTGGTTTGCCTGCCGTTTTCATGGAACATCCCGGGAAGTTTCACTGGCGCACACCGTTCGGGCCTCCCCCACTCGGGCCTCCCCCACTCATGCTGCAGCGGTAGGAGCTCAGAATATTTCTTTTTTTTTTTTTCAATAGAGTCACTCTCAATAGTCCTGGAGAGTCAGGGCCATTTGTAATAATTCAGGCCTGCCTGAATGCATGCAAGGTATGTGTTCTCTACTTCAGCTAGCTTCCTGCACCATAATGTTACCTTTTTGGAGG